TGTTGGGACCGGACTCTCGTCTTATGAAAAAGAATTTACTGGGCCACGGAAATTTCTCAGATGCAGTCATCTTCCTCCCGTGGCCACAAGTCTCATTCGTCCAGGTCCTATTCATCAAAATCTGGCTTTTCCTGCAACGTTTCAAACACAGAATTTGTTACAATTTGTCCAGTTTTTGTAGGAAATGAGGTTCTCACAGCGGTGTTTAAGAAGAGTACTATCCTCTGAGATATAATGCAATGTAATACTTTAAAAGTCAACTGGACGTTTCGTAGGAACATATCGCCTCCATCTTCAGGGTAGAAGATTAAGTAGAACAAGAAACCAGCTGAAAATCAGGTGGAAAACTGAAGTTCCTTAGCTTACTTTCCGGCCCTTAAAATAGAGGAACTATTTTTTCCTACAAAACGTCCGTCTACTTCCAAATGACTACACAGAATTATATCCCAGAACATATCGCTCTTCTTTGCCCTGTTTTTTATGTTGAAATTGTGGAACAACTTTATTTCCATGCTGACTTTGTAGTCACCAGCTTGGTGTATGCTCTAAATGCCATCACATTCTCTACACCGTGTACCAAAATGATTGAAGAAACTGCACCAACTGAAGATGATAGAGCTTCATTTTCGGAATCTTTCACAACGCCCGTCACACAGTCATAGTTGCCATCTCCAATTGACGACTCGCATGGCGCTCATGTTTCTTGAGACTGCAAAGAAAAGACTGTCTTGTATCACACTGTCTTCTGACACATGCGGATGTCCTGCACGTTTTCCCCCCGTAAAAAAAACTTTGTCTGAAACTGCTGATACCAAAGTCTAATGCTGTTGAGAGATGGAGAATCACTCTGACATTATCCCTGGAAGACCCGCTGAATAGAAACAACTGTTCCATGCTTCGCAAACTGCAGCACACAAAACACTTATTTGCTCCGGAGTCGCCATTTTCTCTTTGTTACATCGCTGACCGAATGAGAGGAGGAGGAGGGGAGTGGCGATTGCGCATGCGATCAAAACTTGAATACCTGCTCTTTCGTTCCATGTGGGAAACATGCTTCTGCGTGCATTTCCAAATCCGGTACAGTCGCTTGAAACCGCTCCAATGATTTTGGTACATTATTTACTTATTTTATTTGCGGTTAATCTGACAATGCTGTCAGTATCTCACTTTGTGTATCATCGAGTGGTAAGATGTTGAGGCGATAATGAATTACTCGCGGCGGAAGAGGGAGCGCTCCTGTAGCTTATTCGAGAGTCTCAACAGGGAGATCGGCTATCGTGCCTGAGGTTTTCGTTGTTCCTCTCGGTCCTTGCTCCAGACAAATGACAAAATAATATCTCAGATTAGAGCCCGACCACTTCCTTCCATATCCTCACCAATTCATTATTCACTACCACCTCGCAATTCGACGTTATCGTGGAAATACAAGGGACGTGCCTAGAGCGACCGAAGAAAGGCACACTAAAATCATAACAGGATAGCCGGTTTCGCGGCAAGTGATATAAACACGCGACCTTCTGAGTACGAAGAAAGATGCTACCCGTTCGGTAAGAGTCGCTCTTGANCGCGGCGGAAGAGGGAGCGCTCCTGTAGCTTATTCGAGAGTCTCAACAGGGAGATCGGCTATCGTGCCTGAGGTTTTCGTTGTTCCTCTCGGTCCTTGCTCCAGACAAATGACAAAATAATATCTCAGATTAGAGCCCGACCACTTCCTTCCATATCCTCACCAATTCATTATTCACTACCACCTCGCAATTCGACGTTATCGTGGAAATACGAGGGACGTGCCTAGAGCGACCGAAGAAAGGCACACAAAATTCATAACAGGATAGCCAGTTTCGAGAAGCGTGATATAAACACGCGACCTTCTGAGTACGAAGAAAGATGCTACCCGTTCGGTAAGAGTCGCTCTTGAAGACCTTCTCAGGGTTGTCCTCGTTTTGTAACACCTGAGAGCCGACAATCGTGTTAACGAGTCGCTAGTGGTGCAATTTCATTGAGAAGTAATAAAATGGAATATAAAAGAGACATTCCTATTTTCAATTAAATTAAATTCTATTAAATTCTTCTGATAGACAGTACTTACAGCTCTTAGATGTTTACGGAATTCCTCCAGATACTTCTGTGCGGGGGTCCTCCATTCGTTACCCCTCATGTATTTCTTTTGACACACAGCGTGTTGTTCCCCTCGCTCCTGAGGACATTAAAACCAGCCACAGGATAAGCTCATGTTCAGAGATAAAGGATGAATCAAAGAAAAGTATCTCTCATTAACGACAGGTAGAGTAAGTTATGGAAAAAGAAACCCATAAAACTGTAACATACACCAGAAGATGTAAACAGAATAGCGTAGGATATTTCAGTTAATTGTAAGACTTGAATGTTAGTATGCATTCCCAGCTTGACTTCACGACTTTACAGGAATCAAGACAAGTCATATTACTCGTATAGCCTCTATGTTTCTCGGTCGCTGACCGAATGAGAGGAGGAGGAGGGGAGTGGCGATTGCGCATGCGATCAAAACTTGAATACCTGCTCTTTCGTTCCATGTGGGAAACATGCTTCTGCGTGCATTTCCAAATCCGGTACGGTCGCTTGAAATCGCTCCAATGATTTTGGTACACGATGTGTTCATTATTTTCTTACTTTTTTTGCGGTTAATCTGACAATGCTGTCAGTATCTCACTTTGTGTATCATCGAGTGGTAAGATGATAAGGCGATAATGCATTACACACGGCGGAAGAGGGAGCGCTCCTGTAGCTTATTCTAGAGACTTAACAGGTATATCGGCTATCGTGCCTGAGGTTTTCGTTAATCTCTCGGTCCTCGCTCCAGACAAATGCCAAAATAAGGTCTCAGATTAGAGCCCGACCACTTCCTTCCATATCCTCACCAATTCATTATTCACTACCACCTCGCAATTCGACGTTATCGTGGAAATACGAGGGACGTGCCTAGAGCGACCGAAGAAAGGCACACAAAATTCATAACAGGATAGCCAGTTTCGAGAAGCGTGATATAAACACGCGACCTTCTGGGTACGAAGAAAGATGCTACTNCAGGTAGAGTAAGTTATGGAAAAAGAAACAATAAAACTGTAACAAACACCAGAAGATGCAAACAGAATAGCGTAGGATATTTCAGTCAATTGTAAGACTTGAATGTTAGTATGCATTCCCAGCTTGACTTCACGACTTTACAAGAATCAAGACAAGTCATATTATAGCCTCGTATGTTTCTCCATACAGAATATTACCGTTCTTACATGCCGTAGACCTACTTACTTCTGTCAGGTTTTTAAGAATCTTCCTTAGTCTCCTGTTTCTTTATCTGTCTGTTGGTCTTTGGTTTTCCATTTCCAATTGCGCGTAAAATCATCGCAGCCAATCACAAAACGGTCATGTGTGCAGACAGAGACATTAAAGGGAAAGGAAGCAGGAAATGAAATAACAGACGCNTCCTGAGGACATTAAAACCAACCACAGGATAAGCTCATGTTCAAAGGTAAAGGATGAACCAAAGAAAATATCTCTCATTGAAGACAGGTAGAGTAAGTTATGGAAAGAAAAACAATAAAACTGTAACAAACACCAGAAGATGCAAACAAAATAGCTTAGGATATTTCAGTTAATTGTAAGACTTGAATGTTAGTATGCATTCCCAGCTTGACTTCACGACTTTACAAGAATCAAGACAAGTCATATTATAGCCTCGTATGTTTCTCCATACAGAAT